CCCCAAAACCCCAAAACCCCAAAACCCCTTAAATATTTTAAATAATTGAAAAGTTGAAACCTTCTATTGAATGTAGTTTAAGATGTACTTTCTATACAACGCAATATCCTCTGCCACATCAGTCGTCCTCATCTTAGCAACCCTCAGCAACAAAATCATCAACTTCTTCAATCTCTGGTCACTATACCCACTATCCCACTCACCCAGTCCCACTCAGTTGGCACCTATCTCCTCCAAATTCCCTGACTGGGTCTTCACAATGACTGTTAAGGCAGGGTCTCTGCCTAAGACTTCACAAGTGGAAGTGTTCAGGATTGATTTGGTGGGTGAGGACTTTTGGTACAGGATGTGCTTGATCGATTGGTGAGGGTCAATGTCTTGGAGAATGCTGTCGGCGAAGGTCTTTGAGCCCGAGGTGATGAGGATTATTTCGTAAAAGGAGCTGAGTTCTCTGGAGGTTAGGGAGGGAGGTTACTTGAGAAGTTTTATGCCACCGGGACGGACTAGATAGCATGTGTCTTTTTGTGTGGAATGGGTGGGTTCAGGGTCCTCAAGGAAGTTTATTAAAGCTCCTTCGAGGTCGATTATTAGAGTGTATTTTGGGTCATTTTCGTATTTTGGAGGGAGAATGAACTTTTCTTTCTTATTTCAAATTCTAGATGGGAGAGTTTTGTCAAAACTAATGATTGTGGGTTCAGACTCGACAGGAAGCTCTTTTAGGATTTTTGAGAGTTTTGATTTTGATTTTTCCTTGCTTCTATTCCGAGAGAACCCTCTTTCGATACTGCTCTTATACCTTCTTGTCAGAGTTGGTCGGTTTACTCTAGAAGAGCAATTTTGTGAATTAATGATTTCCTTTCATCCAGAAAGAGCTGATGGAGTATATTTGTGTCCAGAAGTAGCTCTTTTTAATCCATTGGATCTGTCCCTACTTGTGATACGCTTGGAAGATTTCTTTCTCTTGTTATTGAAATCATCTATTGGTCAAAGTACCAGAAATACCTCTAAAGCTTGAGTATCTAGTCGGTTTCTTGCTTTTGATCTTTGAGCCTGTAATCTTAAGGGCATATTTAGCCACAGTGTTATGGTTGACACCACTCTCTTGTTTCGAAGAGAGCCTTGAGTTCTTATTCTTGATTGATCTATTTCTAGGGGACTTGCTTAGTTTCTCCCTCAAGGTCTCTGTCCTTCTTGGTCTGCTCTGATTGGTCGTGTCATAATCTTGCAAGGCAAAGACTATGTCTTCATTTAGAATATTTCTGTTCTTCTATTCATGGATTAGTGAGGATATACTTTCGAATGCTTTGAGGTACTTCTTTTAGCAAATTTGCGTGAGGCAATTGGCTTGAATTTGTGCTTCGACTTATTTATTTGCTGATGGAGGTTTTGCATGTAGCCCTCTCTTTCTCCCGGTGATGCTCAAGGCTGTATTGGAGTAATTCCTGCTATGCTGAATGTTGTTTCACTCCTATGAGAATTAAGAGATTTTATACATTTTCTTTATCTTTCTCTTGGCTGTTTGTGTTTAGAAGGGAAGAGACATTAGTCATCGGCTGGGTTTGGTCAAAAGAGAACTCTACAGGAGGATCGTTTAGGATATATTTAGCATTTGATTGATTCAATTGTTCTTGTATCTCAAATGTTGTCAAACTTTCATCAATTTCATAATTTGCCTGAGATTCTAAGGATTATTAATTTGAGAAAGACAAGGCTTAGCTTACTTTTTAGCCTGTTTGTGGTGTACAAGTTATTTGGGCTGTTTCAGATAACAGGTAGCTCCATGGAAGTAAATTCAAACAAATATTTAAATATTCAAATTGTTTCTGTTATCTTGGGGTTTTGGGGTTTTGGGGTTTTGGGGTTTTGGGG